ATCTATACAATTTCTCGAGTGGAAATTTATGCCAAACCCCACCACTTAAACCTTGATATGTCATTTGTTTCATAAGTGAATTCTTTCATTCTCAATTTTTTTTTGCATTATAAAATCCTAAGTTAAAAAAAAACCTCTACCTATTATTTTTTATAGATACATTTCTAGCTTCAGTGAGTCCTACCTAAACAACAATGTCAAGATTTTGTCATTCAAAGTTAGAAAGCTCAGATAGGCAAGCCCTGCATAATGATTCATGCTTCACTTTGTGTGACCTCCTAGAGACAGAAATAAAGCACGGAGCACAATGAAGATCCTCAGATAAGATGCAATGTCCTCCTTTCTAAGGGCTGGTGCTCAGGTTTGATGGAATTTGTCATGTCAGTTCTTGCTTTTGCTTTTCTACAAAACCAAATGACCAAAATGCAGTTGAGGTTCTGCAACACAACTAAGGAAAATGTAGAAGATAGTTACAATAAGATCTTTCACAGGTGTACTGGTCACTAGGGGATGCTATGGTGGTTACTTTTGTGGGTCCACTTGACTGGGCCACAGGGTGTCCAGTACTGGACCAGTCCTTATGCTGATGTGTCCGTGAGTGTTTTTGGCTGAGGTTAAACTTTGAATTTAGAGACTGAGGAAAGCGGATTGTTCTCCCTAAGGTGGTGGACCTTCTTGATGGGGATCCAAATCAAGTCAAGATGGTGCCTGGCAGTTTGCCAGGAGGAGTGGTTTGTGAGGCAATGCCACCAAGCCATTAAGATGATAGAGATTCCTTATTGGCTGATTGCTGTATCTGGATGATGCTAATTGAGTCAAGCTGTGTGTAATCAGTTGGGTATATATACCTCTGCTGCTCCACAATAAAGCGGCTCCTGCTACCTTGGGTGCCCGCTACCCTGAGTTCCCCACAATAAAGCAGTTCCCACTTCAACCTTCAAGTTGCTTGTCACCTCCTGGTTATTTTGCCCAGCCAGACTGCGGTACCTTGTCTTGCCCAACCAGCTGAAGTCCTGAATAGACCAAGAAGGGACTCCTCTTGCCTGACTGCCTTGGATGGGGATGTCCATCTTCCCCTGCCTTAGGACTTGTACTGAAACGCTCAGCTCTCCTGTGTTTCTTGAGCCTACCAACTTTAGAATTGAAACTATACCATCAGCACACCTGGTTCTCAGACCTTTGGATTTTGGCTAAGGGTATACCAGCGGCTTGCCTGGGACTCCAGTTTGTTGATAGCAGATAATTGGGATTTCTCAGCTTCTGAAATTGTGGGAGGCCATTGTTTATAATAAATTGCCTTTTATACACACACATCCTATTGGGTCCATTTATATGGAGAACATTAAGTAATTAATATACTTGTATTCTCCAAAAACTAAAGGGCCCATGCTTTATTCTTTTCCCAATACACTGAGATATACTGATGCATTTTTGTGTAGGGTTGAGGTCTCATTAATTAAAATGCCCAATGCCCATTTTCAAAGACCATTTATTTATTATCATTTACATTTTAAAACTTTTTATTGTAATATTGGGGATCAAACCTAGGGACTTGCACATGCTAGCCAATTGCTCTTCCACTCAGCTACATCCCCAGCCCTGTTTCTTTTATTTTCATTTTGAGACAAGGTCTTGCTAAGTTGCCAGACAGGCCTTGAACATACAGTTCTCCTGCCTCAGCCTCTCCAGTAGCTGGGATTATAGGTGTGTACTTTAATACTAAGCCTCAAGGACAAGTTGTCAGCTTTGCTTGTCTATGGGAAAACAATAAGGTTAACAGAAAGTGAAACCCAGCATTGCTTAACATTGTAAATGAGGATATAATGTCTGTCCATCTCTAGGCAATAAGTAACCCTACATTGCTTTTTAGTGGGTCTTTCCATCTCTTCATTAGCTCTGAACTTAGAGTAGGTAGAATAATATGGCAACAAAAGTCATTTTTTAAATGAATCCTTTCTGTGTCTTTCTTAAAGTGCTTTTCCTCATTCAAAGGACACTATAAAACAAGCAAAAGGAAAATAAAAAATCTCTCCTCTGACCTCATAGAAAATAATCTGCAGCTTGCTTAGGACACATTACTTTACAGCTACATGACTACTAGAGTTATTATAGTCATCTATAATATTACTTAGTCTCCCTGAATAATGTAGTAATGACAAGCTTCATGTGTTTTTTAAAAATAATTCTTAGAATTACATGTAATAGGAACAGAATGAATATTTATTGAATGCCATGGTTAACAATGGTTGATTGAAAATATCATTATGTGTAATTATCAGAGGATCATACTAAATTGTAGGCACTAAGCAGATCGGTTACACTGGGAAGCTGAAGTTTGACTTTCCCATATGCTTTAGAGAATGAGCTAAATTTCTCAGGTTAAGCATCATTAAACATAGCTACTACTGCATACAACCTTTATACTTTTTGTTAGCAGTGGGGGGTATACAGGAGATTGAACTCAGTAACACTCGACCACTGAGCCACATCTGCAGCCCTATTTTTTTTTTTAATTTAGAGAGGGTCTCACTGAGTTGCTTAGTGCCTCACTTTTGCTGAGGCTGGCTTTGAACTCGTGCTCCTCCTGCCTCAGCCTCTTGAGCACCTTTATTCTATTGAATGGAACAAAAGAACACGTCTGCAGACCTTGATCGAACATTTCCATATAACTACAATATTTTTTGTTTGTATTTATATAATGTTAAAACATCATATCTATGTGTAGTTGCTTGTAATTACATTTAATTTATTCCTAATCCCTCAAAAAGACTTTACATATAATAATCATCAATATTTATAATCTTAATAGTAACCTGTGAAGTAAATGATTAAAAGGTAATTTTTAAGAAAATTAAAGCTAGATGCTAAAATGAAAGAAAATATCAAATCTGAGAACTATTAGCTACCTATTAGCTCGTATTTATAGAAGGGAATCAGTACTAGGAATTCTTTGGTCTATAATTCTATATTGACTTCTAGTTAAAATAATTTTTATCAAATTGTACTTAATACTTTTAGGGTAAATTGGGATAAGAACAATGCATACTTCAAATATTAAAAGTGAGTAATCTTAAATTCCTAGTCTTCAAAGACAATGTTATTATAGAATGATTATTTATTAGGATCTTGAAAGCACATATAAAAGAAATATGGAATTATTAGGAGACTTCAGAATGCAGCAAAATCAAATTACATGAGCATGAAAAAGAAATGAGCTATCAAGTCACTAAAAGACATGAATGAAATGTAAATGTGTATTACTAAGTTAAAGAAGTCAATCTGAAAAGTCTACGTATAATTTCAACCTTATGATATTCTGGAAAGAGCTATACAAGAGACACTGAAAACGAGTAGTTTCCAGGGGTCACGGGAGAGAGATGAATGATCAGAGTACCTAGGACTTTTAGGGCAGTAACAATATTTTGTACAATACTCTAACAGTGGATATGTGTCCTTATGTATTTGTCCAAACCCATAAAATACACACCAGTAGGGATTCCTAATATAAACTAATACTGTGATAATACTGTGCAATTCATTCAACTGAAATGATTGTACCGCTCTGGTTCAGGATAGTGATAAAATGGGAAGGCCATGCAGAAGTGGAGACAGGAGGCATATGGGAGATCTGTACCTTATGTCAATTTTGCTATGAACCTAAAATTTCTTTTAAAAATAAAAGACATAGGGAAGTTAAATAATTTTTATTGGTTAGAGATCAAAATTGTAGTAATCAAAAAAATAATAAATAAAAATACCAAGTATAGTAGTAACCTCTGGTGATGGGAAGAAAATGGAGTTAAAGGGGTAGAAGAGGCCCTCTGGGTTATTATATATGCCCTGTAGCTTGTTCTCAACATTGCTTTCACAGATGTATACATTTGCAGAAGTTCATAAGACATGTACATTATACTATGTGAAAGTTAAACCTGTATAAAAAAATAGTAGAGGAGCTAGGGATATAGCTCAGTTGGTAGAGTACTTGCACAAAGCCCTGGGTTCAATCCCCAATACCACAAAAACAAACAAACAAACAAATAAATCAATAAATAAATCAAATGAGAGGTGAAAAAAATGTACTTAAAATACACATTATTTTTTAATAATTTACTTGTCAATTTTTGGATGAATATTTCACAAATTCTGCATCTTAATGTGTTTTATGACAAATACACAAGTCAAAAGAAGTGTTTAATCTGAAAAATGAATAGAATTTCCAACCCATGTATAGTGTATGAATAGGATATTCTCTCTTAATAAACTTACTAATTCATCCTTTAGGGGAATATGAATCTGGATTAGATTTAGTCACAACATATTATCAGAAGTTTGAGCATAAAGAAAGGATCAGGACTTTTCTTGTAACAGTCTGTTTTCTTTCTCATCTGCTTATTCAAATTGATGGTTTGTCTCTTATGTTTTAGAAGAACTAGTTTACACAGCTCAAAAAATTCAAATGAACTAAATTTTTATTCCATTCAAAACCAATTATAGTTAGAGCTAACATTCTGTCAAATAAAACTCTTTTAAACAAAATGAAGGATGCTTCAGTTCCTACTTAAAAGAGACTGACAATCTGGCAACCTCCCAATTCCCCTTCATCTTTTGACCTCTCCTTAGTCAACCCAGGAGCAGTGGGAAAGGTTCTCAGAATTGTATCAGCCCTCTCTGCTGGAAGCTCTGCTTTTCTGTTTTGTCTTTCCTTGTTTTCCTTAGTGCCCTGACAATGGATAAGATAAAAACATGGCAATGAGAGGAAAAAAGAGAGCTGATAATCCAAATGACTCATTTATTTATGAGTTATATTATCTAGAAGTAGATAACAATTAAAAGTTAAAATCATAATAATTTGTTTCAAATTTTTTGAAAAAGGGAGGTGGAAGGAAGGCTAATTTAAGACGTTTTCTGTGAAAACAGTATTAGAATTGCTTATAATTTTTTCCTGATTTTTAAAAAAATCACATATTCCTTTAGGCTTATTTTACATTTTTATTTTACAGACAGCAAAGGTGACCAGGATTGAGGACCTATGATTTATCATTGGTTTAAGTACCAGGTAAGGTGTTGGAAAAAATCCCCCCAAAATTAAAATTTCAAAACAGGAAGACTCAACCTTACTATTGTGACCTGCCCTATCATTTCCAATTTCTGTTACTCAATCATGCAAAATGTATTCAGGGTAAAACTAAGAGATGGTAAGACGTGAGCCATTCTTGGGGCGCGAACATTTTAGATTGCTAACTGTGGTTTACGCCAATCAGTTTTGGATGCCAGAGCAAGACTTTGTCTAAAAGTATGGAGATGATGCTCTGATTCTGGGAGAAAGAGCACTCGCCACAGAAACAAACCAAGAACAGTGAGACCCGACAGAGGGCAATTCCACAGACTGTTCATTCGTTGGGGCTGGATCCACCTCAGCAAAGGAGCACTCAGGTATGTCCTGTATGCTCATCTGGTCTGCATGTTGGGTTCTTTTAAACCCAAGTTCTCCTGAACATTTTTTGTTGTGTGTAATGTTTTCTCCCTCAACCATTTCACTGTGCCCTCAAACTGATTAATTTACTTTCTCCCTTTCTTGGAAATTTTGCATATCAATGTACTCAGAGAAAGGAGTGTTTACTTACCTGGCATTTCTGATGTTTTGATTGAACTCTGATTCTCAGCTTTAAAGGAAAGGAAAAAAAAATCACTAAAAATTGAATGCTCAATATCATTACTACTTTACAATTATTTCAGCTGGTAAATAGACATAGATCTTTCTCATTTGTATTCCATTTTTCTTAAATCACAAAATCATGAAGCTTCATGATTAGAGGAAGCCTTGGAGCAGGGGTCAACCAACATTTTTTTTTTTTTTTTAAGTGTCAAGTATTTTAGGCTTCATGGACCATAAGTTCTCTGGTAACTACTTAGCTCTGCCTTTTTAACGTGAATGCAGCCACACATGATACTGAAAGAATGGGTATGGCTATGCTATGCTCCAATAAGACTTTATTTAGCAACACACGGCAGGGGCTAGATTTGGTGTATGGGCTATACTTTACTGAATCTTGTTTTCGAGCATCTAGTACAACTTCAGATACCTTGGAGATAATACAGAGAATGACAAACACTTTGGAAGGCGTCTTGGATGGGGCTGCTGTGTGTTGCAATTCTACTAAAACATGATGTGTCTCCTGACGTGGGAAAGGTGAAAGAAGGTTCAGATAGATAATTAGGGAATTCATTTGTGGTAAATATAGTCCAGGGACAACTTTCTGGAAGGAACTTAATTTAAGAAAACTATAGTCAAAGATCCCTTCTACAACTTTAAGTATATGGAGCATGAACAGGATTTGCCACATGGAAATGCAGAAAATAATTTTGAAACAAATAGAAGCCTAATAATGACACTTGAGAATATATCTGCTTGCCTCTTTTGTAGAATCACTTGACTGTCTGTATCAGCACCTTAATTTCAACTTGCTGCAACTAGAACTCTGGACTGGTATACACTCAAATACTCTCCTTCCCTCACTTTCTTGGATCAGTGTCTTCCAGTTGTACAAGGCAAAATATTAGTGGTTATTCTTGAGTCTCCTTTTGTTTTTTTATGTTTTTGCTTTTAAATGTCTATCAGCTCTAACTTTAAAATACATTCCAAATTCAGAAGTGTCACCACCTGCTTTACTATCATTCATCCAGTACCCATATGTTTCTCTTCAGTACCCACAGTAACTGCCTAAAAAAATACTTAAAATTTACAATTTTACTACTTCAATGGTTACCTGTCCCTCTCCTTACTATGGTGGCAGAGTCTTTACAGGATGTGAGGAGCCCTTACTAGTTCCTCAATTCTTCAACCATTCAGTCCTCTGTCTAACACTGCTCCATTTGGAGCCTTAGTGGTAGTCGATCAAGGGCACCGGACTCTTCCCACGCCAGGTTTCTCCTCTGTTCCTTCCCTATGCCTAGGTGTTTATTCAGACTGCACCTACTATTTCCTCCTTTCACAATTTCAGAGAAGTCTAATCAACCACCTTACCTAAACTGTGTCCAATCCTTTTCATATCAGTCCATCTATCTGCTTCATTTGCTCAACAGCACTTTCATTACTACAGTGACATTTATTTTATTTAAAAAAATTGTTTTATTGTCTACTGGAATGTGGCTTCATGGGGACAGATTTCTCTTCTTGCTAAAAGCAGTGATTCCAGTGCCTGTCACCCGGATGTGGCAGAGAAGGTCTTTCAGGAGATAGAAAATAATGGACAAGACTAATTCTACCTACCCGAATTTAACTTTTAAGGTAAAATCGACACTTTATTTAGAATTTCCAGTTGGGTAACGAGAGCTAACATTTTAAAGCAACTTTTATGATCACTTCCATATATTATTTGTTGATATTTATGAGAGCTATTGTTATGATTGAGATGTGGTCTCCCCCAAAAGCTCACATGGGAGACAATGCAAGAAAGTTTGGAGGAGATGTGACTGGGTTATAGCCTTAACCTAATCGGTGGATTAATCCCTGATGGGACTAATTGAGTGGTAACTGGAGGCAGGTGGGCTGTAGCTGCAGGAAGAGGCTCATTGGAGGCGTGGCTGCGATGCATATATTTTGTATCCGAGGGTGGAATCTCTCTCTTTCTGCTTTCTGATCTTTGTGTAAGGTGCTTTCCTCTGCCTCACTCTTCTGCCAGGATGTTCCACTGTGCCTCAAGCCTCGAGGAATGGAGCCTGTCTTCTATGGACTAAGACCTCTGAGACTGTGAGCCCTCAAACTTTTTCTCCTCTAAAGTTGTTCTGGTTGGATCTTTTAGTCACAACATGGGAAAAACTGACTAAATCAGTTATTGTTCCCATTTTAAAGATCTGAAAATGTTAGTTGAAATGAAATTACTTCCTCAAAGGCAGAACCAGGATTTTAATTCAGCCCCATTACTTCCAAATTCATCTTCTTTCACTAAAATAGATGGGTTTCCTTCTATTAAATTGTTCTAAATAAAAAGCTTATATAATTAATTCCATCTTTGATAACTAATTAAAATAATCTTGAATATGGCATAATGCTTCATTTGAAAGACAGCTAAAATATTTATTAGCTATTGGAGGATTAGAATATAAAGAAAATCAAAACCCTTTGTTCTTCTTATTAATATCAGGTCATAACCTTTCTTCCTGACAGAGCTGTTTGAGAATGAGAAATTATAAGCTTGCATAAGATTAAAATAAAATAAAATAAATTCTGATTATGTACTTGAATTTTTGGTCTTCAAAATGCATAATAATTTTACAGAAACATAAAATATACAAGTAATATAACTGTCGTAAGACAGTTGAATCTTAAACTCCATATAAATTCAAAACTATTCTATTGAGTGTCCTAAAATGTGCATGTGAGTGTATGTATGTGTATATATATCTATATACAATAAAGTATTATTATGAGAAAAAAATTCTGCAAATCTCTAATATTTAATAAAGAATGGAAAATATACTATCTTCCATTCCTACAGAAGGGAGATATTTTGAAGCAGATAAAGTATTTTCAAATGAATACAACTTTTTTCAAACTTGGACTCAGTTTGTGACTATAAAAGTTTAGTAGAGATGAATTCTATGAAATATGATTAAATTGTGAAGATTAATTAAAAGTAAGGATGTTTGTAATTATTTCTAGTTTTTAATTACAATTTTTATGATATACATATGCCCTGAGAAAAGACAAATCTTAGATCTGTAGAGAAAATGAGAAAAGTCAAGGAGTGAATGACTGTAGTATGCTTCTGTGAACCATTCTCAAACTTAGATGGTTATTAAAGACCAAACATTAGCCAGGTGGTTGACCATTTAAAATGTATTTAAGTTTGATTTTTCTAAGATGGAAACTGAAGTCTTGTGAAATGCAAAAGAACTTTTAAATGCTGATCATATTAATCCAAGGCTAGAATTTACTCAAACATCTTTTAAATTACAAAGCTTTAATAGGAGTATAGCAAATAACTGAGTTAAATCATCTTATCTCATAAAGGCTACTGTATTTATAGCCAATAAATGAGAGTTACACATGGAACATGACATTATCATTAACAAATGCAATATAAAGAATATATACAGCTATTCCTACATGTAATTCCTTATTGATTCACCAGAAAATAATTTATTATGACCAGTTCAAGTTTTTTTTATGGCATTTACTGAGACACTGCATATGAGATTGTTTCTGATTTGGTTAAACCATGACATGTAACCAAGTCTTATGCTAAGATCCACTAAGATCCCTCTAGTTCTGCCCGCCTGGAATGATATCAACTAACTAAAGAGCATATAAGAATAGTTATTGTTAAGTCCTCAAATAAGTGACATCAATAAATGATACAGTTCACAAAAGAAATATTGAGACTGAGTGGACAGTCAGATAATGTCTGGATTCCAAAGTCAAGAAGAATATCATTGTATGATATCCTCTATAGTGATGTGATTGAAACGTTGAATTAAAAAGTTATTTCCTGTTCAGTTCTTTTACTTTACTGGGTTATTGCAATGAGAAGATTTCAAAATTTCAATTTTATGCACATATGTAGCATGTGCTTATATTGATTTATTTTTTAAGTAGGAATAAGCAAGTTTCAGGCTCAGAGATTTTTGGCAAGTAACAAAATCTAGCTCGATTTTTATTTTGCTTATGTTATAGTGGTTTTTATGGTTACAGCTCTTTTATGCCAAGTGAAACTGGTTTTTCACTTAGGCAATTTCCTTTTCAAACAAAATCTAGAATTAAAAAGTGTGCCATTTAAGGAAAAATGCTAAATAAATAATAACTCAGGTGGTATACATCTCTGGCAACATTTTTGAAGTTATGGGAAATATGAAAGTAAAATATTATAGATGCCTTTGATGGATATGTAGGATTTGAATCAACAATTAGAGAGAAAATAAGAGTTGCACAAATGATGTGATAGGATGAGAAAAACAAAGACAAAACAAATCTGGCATAGCAGGCAGTTAGAGAGAGGACCACCCTGGGTAGAATGGCAGGTTTGCATTCATGCATTCATTCAATCAATTGTCTTTTTAAAATTTATTTAATTAGTGTGTTACAGTTATGCATAATGGTAGAGTTCGTTTGGACATATTCATAAGTACATATCACAATTCCTTTCCAAACCCCAGCTCTTCCTCCTTCCTTCCCCATTATCCCCTGGCTCATTCCAATGGTTGTTTCTATTTATTGAACATCTACTTCTCAGGTGCATGATATCCCCAGTTAAAAGCTAGTTCTTTTCTAATTTATCTAGATAATTTTTATAAAATAGTTATGAGAACAAGTGTGATGAAGTAAAGAGTTAGAGACAAAGACAGGGTTTTAAATTTAATCATGACCAAATCAGTTTTTTCCCAAACCTTGTTCCCTATTTGTGCAATTAGAATCATAGATACCAACTCTGCCT